GGGACAAACACCCAGCTCCACCGTCTCTGTAAGTGCCTGATTTTTTTTTTTTTTTCTCTTTCTCTCTCTCAAATTGCAGAGCTAACGTGTAGGCAGTGTTTTCTCTGGAAGTTTCCTGGTGGGAAAGAGAAGATAAATTCCACATGTCTGGCACTCTGAATAGGTTACACATCAAATGGTGGCCTGACAGACATAAAAAGGACATAATTTTGCTGCAGGCTTCTGAACTATAGTGCATAAATTGTGTAAGGCCCAAGATGCCAAGTTTGCAGGCGACTGGGAGTTTTCATTTTAATACCATTTGGTGTAGTTTGGGGAGAAAAACACAATCTGGTTTTATTGCTTTGGTTCCATGCCAGTGATATTAGTGCTGAAAATGCCGTTAAACGTTGATGGACATGGTCTTTTTCCTGTGTGGCTTAGAGGTTTACTTTGTTTTGTTTTCTCTCTCCTTCAAAGAACAACAACAAAGGCAAGCCTTCAGTGTGTGCCTTCTAGGTAAGGACTTTTAAGGAGAGATGAAAAGAGCTTAGAAGTTGAGATAAATAAAGAGACAAGATGGAAGCGTGGCTCTTGCCTCAAACTATAACATTTCAGCAAGAGGCCTAGCAATTACAGGACACCGGTCAGTAGATTAGATACATGCATTCCCAGCTGAAGTTGGTGGGGTCGCGGGGGGTCTGTGTCCTCGGGGCTTTAGAAACCAGGTGCTCATTTAGAAAGGCCCAGGAAGTCAGAGTGTTCAATAAATACCTAATGAGGCAGCCTGGATGCACGTGTACCAGCCAGGAAAGGGAACTTACGGCTGTAGATCCCCTTTTAATTCATATCCTTCCTTATTTTGTCAAAGTCCATTGTTTATTGCTTAGAGATAGCCATCTAGTGTGGTTTTTTACAGCCCACAGCACTGAGTTACGCTTTGGAATACTTGAATTGACCAAAGGAAAAAAAAAATCTACAATTAAGTAGATTAACTGGTATCACAACTATTTTCTATTATGTTTGCAGAGCCCTCATGTGTAATAAAATGTGGACTTTCTGAAGCTCCATTAAAATCAAATTGTTAAAGTCCATTGGGTTATTTTGCTACTTCTTAGTATTTTATAAAGGAGGGGCCATTTATTTTTCTCAACCATGATTCCATTATTTGTGGTATGTGGATCTACTGTCCACTTAGATCACTTTGGTCAAACATCCTAACAGTCTTGAGTAGTTTCACTGGCACATCCGCTTCACATTAGTAAAAGTCCTGATTAGCACTACTTGATAAAATTGCCACTAAGTAATATGAAGTTATCCTTGGCTATTATGCAGTAACCACCTTTGCTTATTAGCCCATATCTCAGATTTGAAAATCTGTAAAATGTCAGTGTAAAAATGAATGTCCAGAATCATTGACCAAATAAAGGAAAGAAAAAAATAATTTTTAAAATTTAAGGTGTTACCCTTCCTCAGACCTTTGGGTAGTTTTAAGTAAGAGGCAACCAGCAGATATCCCATACGTTCTCATTTAATACTCCCTGTCCTTGACATTTAAATTCATATTTCCTGGCCTCAAATTCTTTTACTGTGATCTAGCATCGCCTTCCATCAGGTCTTATTAGAGTTCAGATGCAGAAGTCTCTCCGTTGGCGAGCGCAGGATCTTTCTTCTTTCTACCTCTAGTAAATTGTACATCATTTAAAAAAGTGAATCTACAAAGAAAGGGTGAACTATGTACAGTGAGACTTTATTGGGTATAATTCTTTAAATAATGCTTTTATAATAGTTATGCTGAGACAGGCATTAGTCAAATTCTTAAAATGCACCAGCTCACTAAATCCTGGCAACATATGGGGTGAATATTCTGTTGTTTCCCTGACTTTATGAATCAGAGACCTGAGTTGCAGAGAATTAATTGAGGGGCTATTTACCACCCCCCTCTAACAATATGCATACAGCAAGTTATCTGGACCCTGCTCTCTTAGCATCTTCAACCTTGTAATAAACCTGACCCATCTATCAGTCACACTGGAATAACTTCCATATGCACCTAAAGAACAAGCCCCCTAAGACTGTTTTTAACCGAGCACAAATATTCTGCTTCTAACATTTTTCATATTTATTTATCAGAGAAGGTGATATACAGCTAACTGCTGATCTAAGTATTCCTGTTTTGTTTTTTTTTTAATTTCCATCCAAATGATATTTTTAGCTTCTGAAATTACTCTTTTTGCCAGAAGACATAGGAGCCATTTAGTCTGTGGACTAAAACTCTCCTCCCTCCCCGCCTCCCCTTCTCTCCTCTTCTTAGTGCTTGTTGGTAAAAGTAAGGAGCAAAAACTAGAGAAGCTGCTTCTCCTGTTCCTCAGTTTCGCTGTGTTCTTGTCCTTTCAATGTCAGGGTCAAATGCGTGTAAAAGTCCTTAGTTGCTGCCGTTTTGTCTTTCCACAGTGTAATCTGAACCACTCCTGGATTTCTCATTAACTGTTAGTTATTCAGCCAATCAAAAATGGATGTTAGTTATTTTAAATAAAACTATAGGGTATCTACAGATAAAATTGTAAGCACACTGAAAATATAATTCAGATTTCACAGATATTCCTGGTATTAGCTGAACTCTAGAAGAGCTTATGCTGAAATGTCGACATTATTATATTTTTATCCTTTGGATTTATGGAAACTTCTAAGTTGCCAAATGTTAAAAATACGATATTCTGAAATTGGAAAGATTTGGCCATATGACGTTAATCAGTCCTCCTAGAGAATATTTAGTATGGCAACTTCTTTTAGTATCAAATTTTGCAGTTAAAATTAATTTGTGGAACTTTTCCAAGACAACATTCAAATCATAATTTTAAATTTTTAAATAAGTAATATGGAATCACAATCCCTCCATGTATTTCTCACCAGATAAATTATTTCCTGCTGAGGGAAAGAAAGGAAGTAAGAATATAAATACCTATAAATATGAGGTATGACTATAAAATTATATGACTTTTTATAAATAACAAATAGAAACTTTTGCATGCATATAAATACTGTCCTTTGCAAAATGGTTTCCTTGAGAGACTAAATGCTTATTTGAATGATATTTTTACTCAACGTTTATTTGAAACTCTAATTGCCTTGAAAAGATGTGGTACAGTCTTTTTCAGGTAAATCTTCATTCTTTGAAAGTTGATTTGATTTATGGCATAGTCAAAAGTCATAGGAAAACTAGTAGTAATGAGACTCACTGACATTACACTTACAGAAATATCAAGTAACGAGACTTAGTTTATTGAAAAACTCCCAACCCAATCTTGAAACTGTTCTAAGAGGGATTCCTCAAGGATGCTTTGAGCAACAGAGGGACCTTTTCAGTAAGCATATGCAAGCCAGACATGGTGGTGCAGTCCTGTAGTCCCAGCTATTCAGGAGGCTGGAACAGGAGGATCCCTTGAACCCAGGAAGTTCAATACCAGCCTGAGCAACATAGCAACACCACATCTTCCAAAAACAAAAATGCATGAGGTCTTAGGGACAGCACATGCATCCCTGACATCCTAGCTACTCTGTTCACTGGCTGTGCAGGTTCTCCTCTGAGTCCTTCATCTCTGCTGAAACTGAACTTGTACTACTTTGTTACCCAATGTGAATCATTTTGGGGGCTCCCTTTGGTACCTTTTGAGTCACCACCAGGCCATTTTGCTGGCGTGTGATTTTCCCCAGTGCCCTAGGCTTCCCTTGGCCTCTTTGGATTTGACTCTATTACCATTTATATCTTGCTTTTCCACCTGAGAAAAAAGGGAGAAACTTCTTTTGCACATGGGAAGGGGACATAAAAAGATTTAAGATGCCCCATGTACATGCACAAGCTACGCGCCATGAATGTAATCATTTCATGTTGGAAACATGAACTAAAACAAAAAGAAAATGGGAGAGGGGATGTGGAGATATGGAGGGAGGGGAGAGAAGTGGAGGGGAAGGGGAATAAAAAGAATCAAGATGTGTTAAATACATGTGCCTACTCCTAAGATGAATGTAAATATTATGTACTGCAAGCTGTACTAATAAAAAATTCAAAAAATAAAAAGAAAGGAGCTCTCCCCAGAGAAACCCCTGGTGTCTTGGTTCCTCTAACACTGTTGAGGCTATGACTCCCACTCACAGCACCGCATCATTTAGTGTAGCAGATTCACTATTGCTAAACAAGGGCCACTTTCTTATGGGGTCGTCCATTCGTGATTATGACGCAGGCACAGCATCTCCCTTAGAGTTAACAGATGATGCCGTTTTGTTACATTTGCCACAGCTGTTTTGAGGAACAGATTTGTATTATGTTTGATAAATAAAATGTTAAAGACAGCACTGACATTCCCCCCCCCCTCCTTGGAGCCTGCTAAGCTAAATTGGTATTATCCCCATGCAAATCCAGGTCCGTAATGGCTTCTGTGACATTCTTGGGCCTGGTGTGTTTCGGAATTCATTTTCATTTTTAGAAATGTATCTTATGTCTGTACTGTCCATAACCCAGGAACAATCAGGACAGCAGCTCTTAATCAAATATGTTACTATTTCTATGGCAGTCTGAACACTGAGTAGATTAAATAAACATTTTAACAGTTGATGCTTTGCCATCCAAAGTAATTATGAACAATCCTCTGGGGTTGTAATCTTTGAAATCTTGGACAAAAAAATGTGGATAATAACTTAGTTTGAGACATACAAAAAATCTTTTCCTTTTCCTTTCTTTCTTGAGATACTTGGGATTGAGCCTGGGCTTACACTTTACTAAGCAAGTACTGTACTTCTGAGTTACACCCCAGTCCCAGGTATAGATGTTTAACCACTTAACAGTGTACCCCGAGTGTCACTTGGACAGTGTGTGTATGTACTATCCCGAGCAGTGCCATTTGGGCAGGTATCATTTCAACTAGTTGATTCTCTTATTAAATAAACTTCATTAAATTGTCATTTTTATATTTCCTGTTATCTCATAAAATCTCAAAAAATTAATGCAAAAAATATGCAAGTTTTGGTTATCTTGTATTCAAATAATTGGACTGGTAAGTGGTTAATTCTGTTTTTCTACTTGCTAAGTTCCTTATCTTTTCTGTTATCACTACCATTTTCTCTTGCTTGAATTGATTTTATTATTTTGCTGATTTCTTGAACTGATTTAGTTCATGGATCTTAGTTTTTTCATATTGAAAGTATTTAAGGCTATGCCTTTGTTCTGAATAAAGCTTTGATTTATCTCATCTTTCTAGTAGTGTTCTTGCTTTTTTTTTTTTTTTTGGTACCAGGGATCGAACTCAGGACCTTGTGCTTGCAAGGCAGGCGCAATGCCACTGAGCTAAATCCCAGGCCCTCTAGTAGTGTTCTTATTTTTATGGCTTGTAGCATAATCTCATTACATTATAAAAATCTCTCTGCCGGCCAGGTGTGGTGGCGCACACCTGTAATCCCAGCACTCAGGAGGCTGAGGCAGGAGGATTGCTGTGAGTTCTAGACCAGCCTGGGCTACATAGTGAGTTCCAGGTCAGTCTCAACTACATAGTGAGACCCTGTCTCAAAAAACAAACAAACAAACAAATATTTCTCTGCCTTGGGATATACTGTCTCAATATGTAGTTACTAAGGCATTTTATAATTTTAAGGTATGCAAATGTTTTTAAGCCACCGTCACTAATTTCTAGTGTTACTGCATTGAAATGCTTCAGTATTTATAGGGTACTCTTGATGTATAATAGTTTTTTTTTGCTTTAGGCCAGCTACATGATAGTGCATGCTGGTAAATCCCTCTGGAAGGTTAAGGCATGAAGATCACAAGTTCAAGTCCAGCCTGGGCAACTTAGCAGTATCATGTCTCAAAATTAAGTAAAAGGGGTGAGAATGTAGCTCAGTGCAAAGGTAGTAGATTCAATTCCCTTCTTAAAAGTTTCTGAACCTCTTTTCTTAGACTTGTTTACAGAGGGTACCTCTCACTAAAACCAAAACAACGAATACTGTGGTCTCTTTGCTGTATACTTATATACCTCAGATTGATTAAAAAGCAGTGTTTTTTAGCTGTTCTGTAAAAATTTTCAATAAGCAAATCTATAGGCAAGAATTAAAAATAAATCACCACCACTGAAGCTATTAAAAAATTATGATCTCAGCCAGGGTGTGTGTGTGGGGGGTCCCTATGAGAAAAGCTGTTTCTTCATCCTATCCCTTTTTCCTGTGACACATATTGTCACACAATGTGACACAATTGATGGCAATTGAATCAAAGGACAACATGCATTGTTGAGAGGTTTCATCACATTATTTGTCATCTAATGTCGTATCATTGATGTTACTTACTTAGGATTCACAGTGTTGTTGGCCTATGAGGGCAGATGTGATATGACCAAACATAGCTAAGAGCCAATCTGCAATACAGTGTGCATCCTCATTTCACTCAGGGGTTACTGTCTTGCTTTAGCTTTGATTGAGCCTACATTTTATCTGGGAAGGAGACTTGCTTTTGGGGAAATTGTGTGTCTAGCCAAATGAGGCAAGATATAAAAGGCACATTGACCCTCAGAGAGAGCAGCAAAGTTTATACATTTAGGCTACAGTTAGTGTAATTTTTCCCCAGTACGTGGGATTGAACCCAGAACCTGCACACTGAGCTGTATCCCTGGGGTGCTCACTCCACCCCATTTTTTTATTTTGAGACAGGCTCAGGCTGGGACCAAATTTCCAGTCCTCCTGCCTTGGCCTCCTAGAGTGTTGGGATAATAAGCGTGCACTGCTACTCCCAGCTAGTTAGTGTAATTTTAATGTAAAAAGGAAACTACAAAATATTAGTGTCTCTACCTACACAGAGTTTAGCACTTTGACCTTACATACATTTCAAGAATTTCCCTTCGAAGTCAGTCTTGTAACTTGACTTTGGTTTGTTTCAGTCATCCTGTTCCTCCCAGGAGAAGCTGCACCAGTTACCATACCAACCAACCCCAGATGAGCTGCACTTCTTATCGAAACATTTTTGTACCACTGAAAGCATCGCCACCGAGAATAGGTGCAGGAACACACCCATGCGACCCCGTTCCCGAAGTCTCAGGTATGTGGACCTGGCCCAAAACTTATTTACAGGGATCATCTGTTTTTCACCAGGTTGAGTGAAGATCTTTTATCCCTTAATTCATATATGTGTCAATTTGTTGGTTTTTTAAGAATTAATTTTATTGGTACATTTTTGGTATAATAATGACATTCATTATTGGAAATTTGCACCTTTACATAATCCATCTTGATTCTTATATTTTCCCCATTCGCCTGCCCTCCCTTCAGCCCCTCCACCTCTCCCTATCTACAAAGGCTTTTTGAAGTACCTTAAATGTGGTGTGATTTTTCTGTCAACAAATGACATTGTTAATTACCATTGAAAGGTATTGTGTTATTTCTTTTAAATTTTCACAATTTGCTAATTGCTGCAATAACAGTAATCATGATGCCCTTAAGGAGACTACCAATACAACTTCTAGCCATTGAAAATTTCAAGGCATTCTAATTATGGTATAAGGACACTCATATTGTACGAAGAGGGGGAACTGCACTGGAAAAGAAAGTACAGCAACACAGGAGGATATTTTTTTCCAGAATCCATCTTAAAGTCCACCTTAATCTTTTTATTCTTTCTTCCCACAATAATCCTTATGTTCTCCAGAACTGTGAATAAATTTGTAGGAGCTTTTGTCTCCTGAATTTGGTGGTTGTCAAATGAAGTCCACTTGACATTGAGTAAGACTAGTTTTATTTTGACCTGGTTACAAATAATAAATATCACAGTCTCCTTCTTCCAGAAGACTAAAATACAGATTCCTGTTCAGGATGTTTTAGAGAGTGCTTTGGGGATCATCGACCCCTGTGGAACTAGGCTGCCGAAAAGTCGACCTGCAGTAAGTGCCCGGCAGCTTCAGCCAACCCCAAAGGGAGTTGTCCACCCTTTTATATCCCTACTTCAGTGCCTCGGCATTGGATTTGTTATTGGAACACCTAGAAAGGCACCCTGCGACACCCATGGCCTTGAGCAAGGTGACTTTCTGCAGTGGGGAAGGTGCTAAAAAACATAAGGACAGCTCAAGGTCTCCCCTGACGGCAATCCCAGCACCTGGACAATAGTCCTTCTTAGAAGAGGGTACCTCCCTGCCCAACGCCAACAGGAGACCTTGATGTTACAGAATTGGTGTACATTGATGATATGATTTTACGGTTTTATTATTTTAAAAATAGCTTGCTTGTTAGGCGTTCAGTTGAACGTCCAAGTTCACTGGCTCGGAAGGGGATTCCCTTTGTATCTTTCTTCTTCATTTAGAATCATAAACTAATATAGAATATAGCCATATTTGGGTAAATGTTAAACTATTTTGAGATATGGAATAAAAGACGGATTTACACAATGACTATTGAAATAAAGAAAAACACACAACCGCTGGTATACCTGTTTCTTATTGTACATAATAAGATGCCTACCTCAGCATCCCAAATAAATATTTGCTAGACTAGAAAATGGATTTCATTTATGACACCTGTGCCAGGGAAGGCACTGGGCCCTCTCCAGTGGTATGTGGCAGAGCGCAGGTGTACGATACAAGTGTGAAATTACACTGTTAAACGTGACCTAGATGTTGCTGTTTGTAGCTGCCCTATTTTGTTTTATGCTGAAATTCATTAATTGTTTTCCACAACTAGGTAAGCTCCTACTATATGCAAAATATAATCTCAACTGAAGAACACTTTGTGAACTCTAACTGTAACAGTTATTTTGTAGCATTTAACTTCTTGAGCTTGCCTTTTTAATCTTACTTGGTGTCCATTTGCAGGTATGTATGAGTACACATTAACTAATGACTGATTTTGTAGGTTACTGCCCAATACAGCATTCTTTTCATATGAAGCTTGCATAGTACTTTTGATGCAACTGACTGTTTACAAATAAAAAGCTTATTTTCATTTCATGCTGTGGCAAGTTTAAAAGGGTAATTTGCTTTGCTTGCAGCCCTGGACGTTCCCCCGCCTGCTGTGACCATGAAATAATTATGATGAACCATGTCTACAAAGAAAGGTTCCCAAAGGTAATGAAATGAATCGAAGATGCCCAGAATCTAAATGAACAGGCAACACAGGTTTCGTATATGTAAGGTGGTTTTGTTATAGGAAGTAAGGGCCCAATCTAGTTATGACTTGTATTAAACATCACTGAAGCCTTCTTGGAAAGAGAAAATAACTTAAAATGTGAAACTAACAACTGCTGAGAACTTGCCAGTCTGCTTGCCAGAATGACTTTACACTGAATGCTGTTGGTGGTACATCGTGCCCTGCGTGGGTCTAGGAGATGCTACAAGGAGGTTCTGCTATCAAAGGCTCCATACCCTTTGGACTCTTTGTACCTCTTTTCTGGACCAGCTGTATCATTAAGCAGAGACCAGTTTTCATCTTATAGAAGCCACAGATTGGTGTTTTGTGAAAGCTGTTTTTTTTAAACCTCATTTTCATTTTCTATGAAATCACTTCTCTTTACCTATTACATTTCTAACCCTACTGCTATAGGTACTATGGCAGTGTTCCCTAGTTAGACTGGCGAAAATAATTTGATTGAACTAGTGTGATATTTGTAAAGGGTTCTTGCCAAACCTCCTGGCTGCAAGGAGCTGCTCCCTGATGGTCTCCATTGCCTTGACTCAGTTCTGTGTTTTATCTACCCAAATATTTCTGCCCATTTGGGAGAAGGAAACTGTTTTATGTCTTTCCTGATTGTCACACACAACCTTTGTAGCCCTAGCCATGAGAACAAAGGGAAATCATGGGTTCCATAAATCAGGAGTAGAGTACTTATTATTTGTAATGAACCCAACATTGATATCATTGATTAACACTGTTTTAGCTATTTATCACATGTCACATCCTCACCAGGGAAACAGATACTGACTATAGCTAGTTCATGTAGGTTCAGATTTCATAGGGGAGCAAGAGAAAGGGACAAGGGGGAATCTCCTGGCACATGTAATTCACATAAGTTAGGAATATTAATTAGGCAATAGGTGATCGCAGAGAAGGAAGTGAAAGTTGGAAATTTCTGATGTATTTTACCAAAGGAGTCCCTTTGACCTTTCACACGTGACACAGTATTTTGAGGAAAAGGTAAAGATGATAGAAGATCATTGTTCCTGATATATTGAAACCTAGTCAAAGAAAACTAACTCTTGGGTCACTCTGTGGGCTGTGGAACTCTCACAACAGTCCTGAATTTTGAGTCAGTAGCAATTAAATACATATTTGCTTTTTTTATCAATCTATCTGCAAGGGCCCACACTCTAACATGAAAGCATAATAATTCGCAGGTATTATTGGAGTTATTTCAAGATGCTTACATGAACCATTTTACACTTGATGACTTGATGAGTCATAAGAAAAGCATCCTGGAATATTCATTTTCAACCAAATACAGTAAGTCCCTGACTTATGAATATTCAAGTTGTGAACTTTCAAGGTGTACTGCATAAGATTCATAGGTGTACTGTATAAGATTGTCAGATTGCCAGTGAATTGGACTTACAGACATCCTCCTGGGATGGGACTGTTTCACAAACTGGAGACTTACTGTACTATTATCATTATTCCACCTGATGGTGTGATAGTCATCTCTCTCTTCTCTCCCTCCTTTCATTCTGCTTATTTTTCAGGGAGCTTTTAGCTTTATAGAAAAATACAGACATTTTCCACGCACACCCTGCCTCATATGCACAGCCTCCTTGTCTCTCCCATCCCCCACAAGAGCAGTACCTTCTGTGCAATCGATGAACCTTCAAGGAAACATCGTTCTCACAGTCCACATTTACATTAGGATTTGCTTTTGGTGCTGTACAATCAATGAGGTTGGATAAATGTATCACGACATGTGTGCACCGCTGTTGTCTCATGCAAGAATGAATTTCTTTTTCTTCTTTCTTCTTTCTTCTTCTTTTTTTGTGGTGCTGAAGATTGAACCCAGGGCCCCACACATGATGATAAACAAGTGCTCTACCACTGAGCTATCCGCCAAGCCCAGAAGTGAAGTTTCTTTTAAATTTAATTTTCAGACTTGATAACTTTTTGAAGGTCTGTGAAAATGCTAGGGAGCTGTGATGGTTAAGCTCCTGTGTGTATCTCCTTATATTATACCTGTGTGTGTGTGTGTGTGTGTGTGTGTCTGTCTGTCTGTCTTTTCTAAACAGGCTACAGCTCAGATGGAAGAGCGTCTAAAGGAAATTATCACCAGTTACTCCCCTGACAACGTACTTCCCCTAGCAGATGGAGTGCTTAGTTTTACTCACCATCAAATTATTGAACTGGCTCGAGATTGTCTGGATAAATCCCACCAGGGGCTCATCACCTCACGATACTTCCTTGAATTGCAGCACAAGTTAGATAAGTTACTACATGAGGTAAGAACCAGCCACTATGTGCATAAAGTTTTCTGATTTGTTTTGCATTTTCCCTGGAAAAAAATAATTTGTGAGACATTTTGCATATATGTGGTAACTGAGATAGAGCTCACATTTCATGGAAGCAAGAAAGGGAGAGAGAGAAAAGAACCCACAAACTGACTGCTACTTCCTCTAAGTTGATTCTGGGCATTATGTTTAGTAATAGAAAGTTAATGTAATAACCTTTACAGGAACCTTGGGATTCAACAATCTATGACGCTAGGATAAGTGGATTGTGAAGGATTTTGAAACAGTTATTTTTTCCCCCCTTACCCATAAAGTAATAAATTGACTGAGCATATGTGCATTATTTGATGGTGCTATCTAATTGTAATATCTGCAAAAGCTAAATGGAAAATTGCTGGCTTTTTCCAGGCCGTGTGTCCTATTAATTAACCTGCATGTGGTGTTGGATAGCAAACGACAACTTGTATTTTCATTAGTGTCAGTTCTTCTTCTAACAAAATATCCAATTTCCAAACTGACAGATAAACACAGGATCAGTCTCTGCCTAACACTCCTATCAGGAGCATGCCTAGCTCCTGATAACACTGGGGACAGGAAGGGAATGTGTATGGTGGAACGGAATTAGTGCATGAGATTGCTCTTCTGCCTGAAATTGATCAGCTGCAGCCTACAAGTAAACCCATTTAGCCTATGTGTTTACATTTATAATATTTCTATATCTCATAGGGCATAAATTATGCCCATGTAAATGTAATCAGCAGTGGTTTTCTGTAAGCATGAATATATAAATACTTCCACAAAAGTGAAGAGAGATACTAGTATCCTAACTTTTGAGAAAAACCATCTGTCCTGTCCCTACAGAATTTAATTGTGGTAAGATAAGAAGATTCCTCTCTGGCTAACACTGTTTTTCTTCCTTTTCCTATCGAAACATCTTAGCAGTTTTCACTGCCCTGTTTCCCTTTCTCGAATTTCAAGCTACTATAGTCTACTAAAGCAGTGCCTCTTGGATTATCTTGGGGGACAAACACATTGTCTCTGATGTTTGTATTAGTTAATTACCCACTTGGCATAGACCAGTTCTCCCTTCAAGTAAAAGGAAAGTGAACCTCAAGGAAACAGGTCCTGCCCTTGGGCATCCTGGCCATGGAAGAATAGCTAGATGCTTCTTCTTAATAGTTGTACTTAGCTCATCATACACTGATGATTGTGGACTGGCACCAGTCTGTGGATCACACTGAAGAGCTCTGAACTAGAATATAAAGACTGTGCTTTATCTGCTTTATTCACCTAGGATGGTGTGTGTTGCATAGAACGACCCAGAGTTTTGTTCCATGAGCAGCTTCTGATCCCCCCTCACCAAACTCACTGCTGTCCTTCCTGTCGGGTTCACTGGCCATTTTACTGGAAGAGGCCGATTTCACTGCAGTGTTCCAACTCTTTCCCCTTGCCATTCCTTTAATGTACTCTCTTATTTTTGTCCAACTTGTGTTTTTTACAAGTCATTTTCCCCATGACCCCATCCTTCTCCACTCTCCTGTTCTCTCCTGTTGATCTTGTTGGCCGTCTTCCATTAAAGTTTTGCCTTCAATGACTTCCCATCTATATGCCTGAACAGCAGCTTCCTCTGAGGTTTGAGATTCACATGTCCACCTGCGTACTGGATATCTTTCTGCATGAAGAGCCCACCAAAACAGTAGTGAGCAACTCAGCCTGCCTAAAACTAGACTCGGCCTCCTCCTCCACCAAACTTGCTTCTTCTCCATTGTTGGATCCACCATCTTTCCAGTCACCTATAGGACTCTGAGTCATGGCAGACTCCTTTCCCTGTGTCAGGAAACCACTAGTCTCCCAGATTTTTCTCCTAAATTTTGTCCACCACCCCATTCTATGATGACTACTTCTTGGCTTAGACCATAATCCTCACTAGGTTTCTTCCCTCCCTCAGCTCCTAACCTTTCAAATCCACATTTTTATGCAGCTCCAAGAATAACAAGCTAACACTCTTCAGTGTCCCATTCTTCCTACAGCTAAAATCTATACCGTGGTTCAGGCTGTGCCCCCTCCCAATACATTTAGCCACAATGTATAAAACAGTCTTCCCTTGGGTTTCACTTTACTGAGGGAAAGGGGTCATTCCTAACTCCTGGTGTTTATGGATTCCTCACTAACAATGGAAAGGAGAGAGGAATAAAGAAAGTACCTGTGGAAGCATGCCAAAATATTGGATCTCTTATAATGTACCATCCAATGATCTAGCTTTCCTCTGCTTTTTAATTAAATCCTGAAATACCATATATTGATTCCTCTTTATGAGAATACCTTGAAAGTTAGGTTTGTGGAGTGGTACTTATGAACAGAAGATGAAGACTCAAGGAACTCAGTCTGTCAGCCCGTAACATCTTCCTAAATGTCAAAATTCTTCCCCAGAATCTTTACCAGTTTAGTTCTGCAGTTTTAGTTCCTTCCTAGGAATTCCCTGCAAAGGGGAGTATTGATATCTAAAGCTATTTTGATTTGAAGGCCTCCATTTTTATTTCTGTGTGACGGACTGGGCACATTGTTTCATGGCAATTAAAAATAAATCTTAGAGTTTCAAAGATCATGTGAATGGGCCATGTGACAGATAAAAATCACTACTTTTCAGAGAAATTTCTCTTTTGGCCAAAGCATATACTTACGGCAGAGAGGTCATTGTTGGATACGAATAAGAATGTTTTCTTGTTCATTTTCACAGATACACAGTTTCCTTCCGTCCTTTTGTGGGAATTAAATTTATTTTAAGAATCACGTTTACAGTGTCCTTCCAGTTTGGTGCCAAGCCTCTCACAGGAGAACTTGTCCCTTTTAGATAAGCTGAATTGTGGGAACTTGGCTTTAGTTTCCGGGTATGCGGTTGTCAGTTCCCAGCTGTGACTCTGTGCCCAGCAGGCCTATCTTCCCCACCACTTTGCCCATTGTCAAGCTTTTGCATAATCCAAGGCGAGCTTGCCCTAAGGTTTGACAGCTAGACTGTGCTGATGTCTTCTAGAGTCCTGAGGTCCAGGCCAATTCCAATAAATGCTTTTGTGTCTCTGGTCTCTTTTTCACTGAGGTGTATTTAACCAAAGAAAACAAAATACATGGGAAATTCTAACCTACTCCCAGATGTAGATCGCAGTATAGTACTTTATATAATGGCCAGCACTGAAAATGCAGAGACAAGTATCCATGAGTGTTCCCTCTTTCAACCTGCTATTGCTAGCCGGAAAGAGTTCTCTTCTCGGGCTAATTCTGTCATTTCAACAAAGCTCTTCTTCCCTTCTTAATGCTAGTACATTGATAGATAAAATATTATTTGCACTGATATAATCGTACGTTTTGGCATGGATGTAGCTGAAGACTGTTAGAAGTCAGACTGAAATGAAATATTTTTATGCTTTTTGAAATGGAATTTATATAATCAGAATTGACTATTTTTTAGTTTTCTCACATATGAAATTTTCATGTCCCTTTGAAAAAACCCACCAAAATATGCTCAGGCTTTTTAGATGGTCTTTATATTCCTGAATTTATAAAACAATTATTTTAGTAAGAAGAAACTTCAGAGTCTACCCCAAATTGTCACTAAGGTGTTAGGTGATTTTTTTAATTTTTGTTTTTTTAAGGTTCACTGTTTAGTTAAAGATGTATAACCGTATTTCTTAGCATTCATTGTAGCTTTCAAAATCTGTTTTTTGTTGCAAAAGAAACATTGGAATAAAGCTGTTCCAATATTTGAGATGTGTGTATAAGTGTGTAGACACTTCTAGTCTATAATTATTCACCAGTTGTCATTTTTCTTATTTCAAATATTAGTTGTTTTGTTTTTACCTGTCTTGTTTGTGTACCTGTGTTTTAGAACATTGCCTTTGATTTGATGGCTTAAATTCAATAGATATCTTATAATCATTTTTCATAAAATTTTCTTGCCAGCTACTTTTGTGGGAGCCTTGGGATTGTCAAGATGAAGTGCCTTCACGAATCACTGTAATTGTTCATTATTGTGTTTGTGATATCACTTTGATAACTTGTAAAAAAATCTCTAGAGGATAGGACCGGGGATTTAGCTCAGTGGTTCCACTGCCTGCTTCGCGAGCACAAGGTCCTGAGTTTGATCCCCGGTACCAAAAAAAAAAACAAAAAAGAAAGAAAGAAAGAAACTTTGGAGGATACTAAAAATTAAAAATTGGAAATTGCCTTAAGATTTACATTAAAAATTATAAAACTTTGTCCTATGCCAGTCTTGATATAGATGTGTCCGATTTCTTCAAGAAAATATCACTGAAATTTTCAATGACTATTAACAAACTGAGCTTTACTCTCAGAATATTTATTGCACTTAGGCAACATGTGCCATGAAATTTTAAAAGATTTTTAAGTCAGTTAAATTTTACTTAGTTGAGTGCCTAGGTGTAAAATTGTAATTCACATGTATATACAAATATAAACATTTTTAGCAAACATTTGAAATAAGCATTGCACACTTGTCACATGTGACCAAATAGTGAATTTATGGGCTACTCATTGAATATATGAACTGTTTTTCATGAATACGTTACATGACCACTTGGCAAAAGCAGCCCATCACTGTGTTAGCAATTTGACACGTCTCAGATGTTAACATCTGGAAAGTCCAAGCTCTTGATCAACTGCCTCTCCAGGTACTATGTACTTACTGTGTCATAAACTTTGAATGTTTCCTTCATTCATGGTTCACGTCAAGAATCCTCACATTGGATTTTTAATGCAGATAGTAAATCAAAGCTTTGAAATTAAAGTTTAACTAATAGAACTATTTTATAGATTATTTAATAGTGTCCATTTATATAGAAATGATGCCTGCTTATCTTTTAAGAGTATTTTCGAGGGCCGGGGATCTACCTCAGTGGTGCTGCCACCTGCCTTGCAAGCGCAAGGTCCTGGGTTCGATCCCTGGTACAAAAAAAAAAAAAAAAAAAAAAAAATTTT